ATACACATGTCTAACGGACCTAATAAGATGATCCTTGGCTTCACATAAGTTCAACATGAAAAAATGTACAATCCGTGTCAAAAAAAGGATGCGTTACCTATATCATAAGTATTGCCTGAGAACATGTCTATTCTGACTATCTTGTCAACGTTTTCCGACTAACGACATTATTTTTAATTTGTTACACTGAAGAGGGCCACGTCCTTTAGGCCGAAACGTCTGTTTTTGTGATTATTTTATAATAAATAAAAATTTGAGCAATTAAAACTAGCTCCTGCTCTATCAGCTTGTTGTTTCAAGAATATTATTTAAATATTAAATTAAATATTAATTTACGCTGAGCGGAAACTTCGACGTTGAATGCAATAAGTACTATTGCGAGAATAGCAAGAAGTAGAGCGTTTATCTTCATGTTGATATTTCGGTGTTGATTGTCCGCTACCGTCGCAAGAACTTATACTTGACTGGATACGTCCAACTTGCTTAAATATCTTCACGACATATCTTTATCCTTCGGGGAAATTACCGTACTTTATACGCGAACACGTTTTATTACTCATAACCGCCATTATTTATAATTAATATCGCGTATTATTACGTAAACGATACGCGATAACAAGCAGAGTGACCTTTCAAGATAGCAAAAGTATAACATTCTTGGAAACGTGTAATCGTAATAATACATTGTGAGTAACATTAATTATAAATGCATACTGACCTCGAGATCAAATTCTACATAATAATTTTTTGTGTTTGTATGTATATATATTCAACTTCAATATAAATTACTTGAAGTTATTATGTTTCATAGTCGACAATATTTTACTTGATTTTAATGAAGCAATTGCAATACTGCATATTGTGTGGATACATTGTATTTTAAAATATGATAAAATTTATATTAATCAAATTAGTGCTGCAGTATTAACGTAGACAGTTTATCGAGATATAATATTGAGATACTACATAAACGTGCATGTGTAATATTTGTTTAAGTGGTCCTTGAAATTCTCTCGCCAGTAATAGCCATGTTATTGTAACGGTAGCACATATTTACTTTGGATAAAGGCAACTTCGTAACTTTCGTTTCGGAGTAACAGTTTCTCTTATTGATTGTTTTGTAGCGAATCTAAACTGTTCAAAGTTATTTTGTTTCTTATGTCTGAGAGTCGGTTTCGATAATGTGTCTATCGCGTAATTGCATTCGTGTGGATTATATAATATGTTCATCATGAAAGAATGATCATGTCAATGATAAATAATATAAAGAGGCAAATCGCGCGTGACTTTATCGTGAAACGCAAAAAAAGTAATCCGCATTATAAACTTTTTTGCATATATGTTAGGCAGTTGATTTATATAAAGAACTTAAATTAATATTACGTTTTATTATTGACAATAACGTTGTACCAGTGGAAAATTGTATTATTAATTAATACAGTATTGTCGGGAGTTTTTCTAACCAGTGTTATGTGCATTGCGACCATTATATCCGGAAAAGGATGTACAGGAAATGTATAGTACGTGAATTGCTTAGGAAAACCATGACAGTTCTAAACGACAGTTCTACGATTGCAAGCTAACACTCGCTCAAGGCGTTTCCGAAACGCGTCGTATTTTCGGAGCGCCCGAGACGTCGTTATCATTCAACCGCATGTTAAATGCCGCACACGTCCATTCGCGCATTAACCGCGGGAGTACAACTTCGTAGCGTATCGCGACGAACTATCATTACGTGGTCCGTCTATCCGTGCGTCGTAAGATTAACGTTCTCTTTCCTATCCGTAACGGGCTTGCAAAGTTGCAGCGAGAACATAGTACAAGCGAGTTTACTTCGCCTTATAACTTGCTGCTTTGAAGCACGCGGAAACCATCTTGGTGCATTGGACTTTAAATCGTTTAGAGTTACCATTCCGCGTGCTCATCGAATCTGCGGCGGCCTCGTAAATGTCGCTCATCTTTTACGATGCGACCGGCGTTTCGGATTACACTCGCAGTACATCACAGCGCGTGCATTACGAAGTTTCGGAGAGCCTTGAAGCCTCCCAGTTGCCATTGTGAACCAGCGCTCGCATTCGCGAGACTCGTTTTTGGCGAAAACGGACATTGTTGCCCGTGTGCGGGCTTCTATCTCGTTGAATCGTCGCGAAGCAATATTTTCCGTCGACACGGCGCGCAACGCAACGCGACATGGGCGTGCAAACCAAACCGTGAGCGTCGCCGTGGCAAACTTTCCTGCGTTGACAATAAATTTTCCGACTGTGATTTTATTCCGCGAGTAAATTCCCACGTTGCCCAAGTTGGCGTCGCTCCGCGATTTACGCTTAGCCCGCCGTGTTTTTGAGGTTACTCGAGGCACGATATATCCTGAGAAATGCGCGATAAAAGCCGACCTTGGCTGATATTTACTCCGACATACTTCTTTTTCGAGAGTAGCTTCTTGCATCGCGCCGGATGAATCATTTAATTTCTGACGGTTATTTCCTCAGCGACCGCTTTTCCGCAGCGTGATGCGGAGTAATCTAAACTGTAACGATAATATTCGGTATTAAGATTAAAAGCGCAGATTGCATATTTAATTATATTGTCTTCCTTTACTTTTATCGAGCTATTAAGCTCTGGAATATTATGTTGTACATACATTCGAGATATAATAGAAATAATAGAGCGGAAAGTTTCCGAGCATTGAGATCTCTGTTTAAAATTGAAACTTTGTAATAAAAAACTTTATGAAAATTTACATTTAAAAAACTAATATTAATAATTTTAGACGATGATCCGAAAGATTGAGATAAATTCGCGTGAAATATTATTCTTATTGAATGTATATTCAGCAATGAATTCCGGCCGGGCTACAATGGGAGTGGAAAATATAACCGCGGGGATAAATTCATTTGCCGAGCCTGAAACTTTTGCTTTCAAGAGCTCATAAATGACCGAGCACCGAAACTTTTCATGGTTAACATATCCCTAGATACCTCATAAATGTAATTTTACGTACGTTTCGCTATAATACGACGTACATTTTCACACGCTACAATACGCGCATAATAATATATGAGAAAGTTATTAAATTTATTTTGATTTATCTTCTTATTGTAGTCTCTATTTCATTTTACATATGTAAAAAGTAATTGAGAAACAAGTCTTCCAATCTTAAATTTTAGAAACATTAACTGCAACTTTCCGGTTAGAAGAATTGAAAGTAAAATATGCATGTTTTCCACGAAATAGAGTTAAAAAACATTTATTTGAATTTTTTACCCAAAAGTCTATTTTATCAAACTGGTTTAAAATTTTATTTTGATTTTAATATATACTTTCAATAACTCGAAGTTTCATGAAAACGTGAGAAAATTGAAAAAAGAAAGTAACTGACGACGACAATGTCGCGAAAAACCATCAGTGCGGAATGAATAAATTTCTGCGCGAGGCAAGGTCATTATTCCGGAGGAACTCTTTCGACCTTTGACCATAAGGTCTTTTTATCTGGCGTTGTTCCTTCAGTAAGAATTGGGCACGACGAAGGGTACTCCACCGATTCCGCTTCCGTGAATATTGTACACCATGCTTGTGCCGTTATTACTCTGCGTATTTGCATTTTTTGTTGCGACCTTCCTAATTGCAATTACGTATACATAAGCCTGCAGAAAATGGCGAGAAATACAGTAAAATAAAATTTGTATGCGGAAACATTCTGCACACTCTACACGGTTTAACATTAATATTTCTACGGTCTCAGAAGTCATTATGGTCATTTCACAATTTGATTATTTTTCAGAATTTTGATGCTTTTCTTTTTAATTAACGCGACAGCAAGGTGCAAATTTTATGACAAATTGCGATGTTTTATTTAATTTGTTTTACACAAATGTAGAAACACTTGAGCTTCTTTTTATCTACATAAATATTTATTTTTATGTCAGGCATAATAAAAATGTCATATTTTTTTATATTCTTATATTTATTTAAATCTTACTTCGTTAGCGAGAAGCTAGTTTATATTAATTGACGGATGGTATCTCCCGCCGCGTACCACGAACACTCGTTCTGATAACACTTCAATTGAACAGTTCGATCGACGGCAACGAATCTATTGCCTCCTTCAAAGCAGGCCCTACATGTGCGCGCTATTTCGATAACACCGCTGCCGCAGGTTATTTCAAGTATTACTATCTATATCTATCGCATAAGAGAGTATCGATTTGCTGGATTAAAGGTCAGTTGCGAAATTTACTTTAAGCTCTCTCACGTTGTTCTCCAGATGTTTTCTTTAAAAATATGTGATCTAAAGATAATGAATTTTGCGCGTAACCAAACATGGTTGTGCTAAAAGTGAACGAATCTTTTTCTATTCTGTATAATATACAATTTTAGAAAATTAAGAAACATTTTGCATTGTTTTTATTTTAACAATGTTGCTGACAATTCAGAAGTAAAACTATTTCAAAATTTGAGTATGAAATAAATTAATTCCCGATATAGTGAAAGAGAATATAGAGGACGAGTAGAGAAGAGAAGGAAAGAGGAAAAGGACAAGGGTATAGTTACATAGCTACATGCAACGCTTCACCGATCTTTTGATCTCGCCTCGACCAATGTGGTTACGTAATTTGATCGGTTAGTCATGGACTATAGCGTGGATCGACCACCGTATAAGATCCGTGCGTATGCGTAAAAGCATCTGCCGTGAAAAATTGTGGCTACTGATCTGATAGGAGAAAATGGTAAGCTATCCGTATCAGGCAAGTATTAAGTCAAGGTAGAACAGAATGAAAAGGAACGATAGAGAATAGAAGGGACGAGTTTCCTCTCTCTTTCGATTTGCAAGGTCGGCTCATGTATGTACACAAGGCGCCGTTGTTTCAGGGTCGATTTATTTCTTCCTCTTCTCGTTTTCCGAATCACTGCTCGCTTGCATGTACATGCATTGTGCCGATATACATCGGCTTTCGCAGCATTTTTGCTTTTGCTTGAATTCTTTGATGGCATGTCTGAATTCTTGTTGATGTGTTCAATTACGTGTTGTATTCAATTAACTGTAACTATGTGATACGATATTATTTCTATCACTATTTGTTTTTTCGATACTTTTTTAACTTTCACAATTTTTATCTTGTATTTTCGTAGCAATCAAAATATTAAATTACGTAAATAAATATTTATATCAAATTCGGAATAGATATAAATATGTATATGTGTGTGTATGTGGGTAGGAATTATTGCTATCGCGGAAGATAAAGAATCGAAATATTTGTAAAGACGACAAGGGCTTGATGTTAATTCTTGGTTATGGAAACATGTACAGCCGATACAATCCTTATTACCGTATTTTATTGAAAAAGGTCCTTTCTGAGATCTACTTATCCTCTTATTTATATTCTCCCCTGACCTTCCTTCTCTAGTATAAAGCTATACTTTTTCTCTTGTGTCGTATAAAT